GGTCTTACCGAGCCTTTTTAGGCAAACTTGATTCCATTTCCATTCCCAGAATGTTGTCTGAGGCTCTCTGGAATCCCAATTGGATGTCTGCTATGAAGGTAGAAATGGATGCTTTGCAGCATAATGAAACAAGGGAGCTTGTATCTCTCCCTCCTGGTGAAAAGACTATTGGTTGCAAATGGGTGTTCAATATTAAATATCTGGTTGATGGTTCTATTGATCGGTATAAAGCCCGCTTGGTGGCCAAAGGGTTTACTCAGATTCCTGGTAAAGACTTTAATGATACCTTCGCTCTTGTGGCTAAATTGACCTCAGTTTGTTTGCTTGTCTCTCTTGCTGCCTCTCACAATTGGCGTCTTCATCAGCTTGATGTGAAGAATGCTTTCCTTAACAGTGATCTTCTTGAGACTATTTACATGGATCCTCCACCCGGTTTTCGGGTTGAGGGGGAGTATGCTGGAAAGGTCTGTCGATTGCGGAAGTCTTTGTATGGATTAAAACAATCTCCCAGAGCTTGGTTCAGCCGCTTTAGTGATGTAATTCTATCCATGGAGTTTGTTAGATGTCATTCTGACCATACATGTTTTATCCGCCGTTCCTCTAATGGTCGATGTATCATTTTGCTTGTCTATGTTGATGATATCATCATTACTGGCAATGATATCCCTGGAATTGCTCAAGTAAAGCTTCAATTGGCTAAAGCTTTTGATGTGAAAGACCTTGAGTAGCTCAGATATTTCTTGGGAATTGAGGTTACTAGATCTAAGCAGGGTATCTCCTTATTGCAAAGGAAGTATGTCTTGGATCTTCTTCGAGACACGGGTATCCTTGGGTGTAAACCTGCTTCCACTCCTATGGATCCTAATCTGAAGATCTCGACTGAGTCCGAAGATCTCCTTTCTGATCCCTCGCAGTGTCAGCACTTGGTAGGAAGATTGATTTATCTTACCAACACCCGTCCTGATTTGGCTTTTGCGGTTAGTGTTGTGAGCCAATTTATGCATGCTCCTCGTATATATCATATGGATGCAGTATATCATATTCTTCGATATCTTAAGTCCTGTCCTGGACTTGGATTATTCTATTCTTCTAGCAAGCAAGTTGGGTTATCTTGTTTCAGTGATGCAGACAATGCTGGGTCCAAGACTGACAGACGTTCCACATCTGGCTTCTGTACTTTCTATGGAGACCATCTTATATTATGGAAAAGTAAGAAACAACCTGTAGTTTCTAGATTTTCAGCAGAGGCTGAGTATCGTGCCATGGCTCAGGGTACTTGTGAGATTCTCTGGCTTCGATCTCTTTTGGAGGAGCTAGAGCTAGGTGAAAAACAGTCCTTAGACTTGTTTTGTGATAATAAGTCAGCCATCATGCTTGCTTCAGATTCTGTTTTTCACGAGAGGACTAAACATATAGAGGTGGACATTCATTTTATCAGAGAGAAGGTTCGTTCGGGAATTATCAAGCCGTGTTTTGTTCGTTCCTCTAATCAGTCGGCCGATGTGTTCACCAAATTTGTTATTCCATCTTTGCTTCATTCCTCGATTACCAAGCTGGGCTTGATTGATATCTTCACTCCAGCTTGAGAGGGAGTGTTGAAAGATCTTTATTATTTTTATTTTTATTTTTATTAGCTTTTTTTAGCCTTTTATTAGATGTTTTATGTAAGATCCCTATAATCATGGGATCACGTAGATAAGATCTCTGTAATTATAGAATCCCGTAGATAAGATCTCCATAATCATGGGATCCCGTAGATTTTGGCATATTTTATGTCTTTCTTTGATTTGGTTTCCTTTCTTTGTACCCTATTCTTGTATATAAATATAGATCTTGGCTCTCAGTTTGAGAAAGCCAAAACACAAAACTTCTTCTTTTGGAGGAAATTTTATGGAGGCGGAAATTTAGAGCTCTTTGATTGAAAGAAGGCGACCGTAATACGAAATTCTTCCACCGCTTGGCGAATGCCTATAGAAGACGAAATCATATTGGAAAGCTTCGGATTGATGGAAATATGGTGTCCAGGGATGAGGAGGTTTGGGCTGGTTTCGTGTCTTTCTTTCAGCAGTTATTCATGGAGATAGTTCGTGGTAACCTGTGTTAGATGGGCTTAAGTTTGTGGGAATCTCGGGTGAAGATAGTGATTGGCTTGAGATGTCGTTCGGGGAGGAGGAGGTCTTGGAAACTGAGAAGTTGTGATGGGGACAAAGCCTCGGGACCAGATGGATTCACATTAGCCTTTTTCCAACAAAATTGGGAGGTGTTGAAGACCGAGGTGATGGGAGCTCTTAGTTCTTTCTATTTGGATGGTTTCTGTGAGAAGAGCCTTAATGCTTCTTTTATCACCCTTGTTCCAAAGAAGAGTGGTGCCACAAAGGCAAAGGATTTTAGACCGATTAGTTTGATTGTTGCGATTATAAGCTTTTTGTGAAATTTTAGCCATCGGTCTGGGAAGAGTTCTGGATAAGGTGATTTCGGATTCCCAGAATGCTTTTGTTGGTGGGCGTCAGATTTTGGATTCAGTGTTAGTCGCTAGTGAGTGTGTGGAGGCCATGGTCAAAAGTGTTGTTCCGGGGATTGCTTGCAAATTGGACATCGAAAAGGCCCATCATCATGTTTGTTGGAAGTTTTTGATGTATTTGTTGGAGAGAATGGGATTTGGGCATAGATGGAGATCATGGATTTATCGGTGCGTATTAACAACACGCTTCTCTGTCTTGGTGAATGGATGCCTTGCAGGTTTCTTCACTAGTTCTCGTGGATTACTCCAGGGTAACCCTTTATCCCCCTTTTTGTTCATTATCGTTATGAAGGCCTTTAGTAGGTTGATGGGGATGGTAGAGGGTGGATTAACTGAGGTTTTTGAGATGTGTTTTGGCTTGCTTCCAAGTTGTTTTAGGTTTGAAAATTAACATTGGGAAAAGCAAGTTGGTGTCAGTTGGGAAGGTTAAGGAGAATTATGATTTAGTGGACATTCTTGGGTGTGGTGTTGGCTTCTTTCTGATCTCCTATTTGGGGCTTCCCTTGGGTGCCTCGTCCAGGAGAACTTTCAATTTGGGACCTTGTGGTTGAGAGATTTAAAAGAAGTCTTGTGTTGCAAGAAGCAATACCTTTCGAAAGGATGGAAAATTACTCTTATGAAGAACACTCTCTCGAACCTCCCTACTTCATGTTTCTTTTATTGATGCCTATGTTCATTGTTCAAAGGAGATGCAAAGGTAGTTTTTGTGGGGTGGAAAGGGTGAAGAGTTCAAATACCACTTGGTTAACTGGGACAAAGTATGCTTCCCTTTTAAGAAGGGGTGAGATTGGAGCTATTTCAACAAGTCTTTGCTTGGAAAATGGTTTTGGAGATTTGGAGGCAAAAGGTCCATATTATGGAGGAGGGTCATTGCCTGCCGGAGGGGGAAGTTGGGTTTCTGGAGAGTTGAGATCTCCGACGGGTGTTGGTGTGTGGAAGCTTATCTGAAAAGGTTGGGACGAGTTTTCAAAACGCATCCGGTTCAAAGTTTTGAATGGGAGACACGTTAGGTTTTGGGAGGATCGTTGGTGTAGGGATGTTACCTTGGCTCGTAGGTTCCTGGACTCTTAAGGATTTTGGTTGTTGACGGCTATCGTTTTGATGATGGGAAGTTGACTTGGGATGTGCAGTTTCATAGAGCATTCCATGATTGGGAGCTCTCAGATGTCACAGAGTTTTTGTCTTCTCTCTATAGTCAGGTGGCGGGGTTTGGATGAGATGGTTTGGGAGGGCTCTCCAAGAGGGGTTTTTGATGTCAAATTGTTTTGCTAGTGTTTGTCGGAAACCCAGGCTCTTCCTTCCCTTGGAAAGTGGTTTGGAAGACGAAGGCCCCCTTCAAGGTGGCCTTTTTTACTTGAACAGTTGCTCTTGGAAGCATCCTCACTCTTGACAATCTTAGAAGGAGAGGTCATATTGTAGTGAATTGGTGTTGCATGTATAAGATTTCGGTAGAATTTGTGAACCATCTTCTTCTTAATTGCCCAGTAGCGAGAGATAGTTAGTCTATGTTCTTGGTTGCTTTTGGTATGGTTTGAGTGTTCCCTAGCTCTACAATGGATTTGTTAAAGTCTTGGAGAGGGTGTATAGTGGAGAGTTGAGTCAGAGAAGCTTGGAGGGCCACTCCCCTTTGTTTATGGTGGGGTTTGTGGCATGAGAGAAATAAGAGATCTTTTGAGGGAGAGGAATCTCCAATTTGGACTCTCAAATACAATATATTGTCTAGCTTATTTTTTTGGGTTTATGGGCGTAATTGTAAATCTTTGGGGGATCTTTTTGGATTTTGTGGATAGTTTGAAACTTTAGTATCGCCTTGGGCGTCCTTTGTTTATTCCCCCCCTTCGTTTTTTTTTTTTAGCACCTTTAATGAAATCTTACTTATTAGGGGAAAAAAAAAAAAAGGTTTAAGCTTGGTCAACTGGATCTAAAATTTGGAAGAAACACGATATTATGTATGTAAACGAAGCAAACTGGTGCAACCCAGTTTTGCAAAATTTGGAGTTAACAACCATCTATTCTAAAAGCTTAAGCTGTTAGAGAGGGTGTAGCTTTAATCCTCTAACACGCCCCCTCACGTTTGGCCTTCTTTTGGTCAAACAAGTGTTTCAATTCATGTTCTTATAAAAACCATCTACTCTAAAGGCTTAAGCTACTAAAGAGGGTGTAACTTTAATAGTTAAATCTTCTAATAAGAGTCTTACTAATATGAGGAGAATTGCAATTTCAGGTGTCAAGCATTTTAATCAGTTTATACTTTAGAATGGTTTATGGTTTAATGAAATCATATTACACAGACGTAAATTCAGCATAAGTCATTTTTTGAAACTTAATTTGTGATAAATATTGAGCTACTAATCATGTCTGTTGAGATCAAACTTGCTTGTGGAAGAAATTGGGGTGCCTTTTCATTTTATTTTATTTTTCGTTTTTCTGCTTTTTGTGCTTTGGTTCAATATCAATGCCTTTGTGATTTCTCATTCAGATATGCTGGATTGCAAGCTTACCCTGGGAGAGAAAGAAAAAGGAGTATGTCTCTTCATGAGTACCAGATACTTAATTTCATTCTAATTTTGGTATTGGATCTAGTAAATTGTGGTTCTGATGGTAATTGTCTTTTGCTGATTGGGTTTGTATTTAGTGGATTTGTGTTCTTATATATTGATACTTTTTAAAGATTTGTGCTCTCTCTCTCTTACAATTTTTAAAGTTTGAAAGCTCAAATAATATGCTGCATATCCATCTGAAACTAAGAATGCTTTTTTTTTGGAAGACAATGTGTTGCTTCATTATTTGATATAGTTCAGTTGAAAGAAAAAAAAAAGCTAGAAAATAGAAGAGAAGAATTCTTGTATATCTCATAGATGTGAGTAAATGTGGGTTTATATAGGAACCCAATACAAGACAATCAATACAATTATTTAGCCAATTATCAGAAAATAAGCTAAATCAAATATCAATTTCTATTATCACGCTAGCAACATCATAAAATTCCTATAATCAAGCTAGCAAATTATATGCATCAGAATAGTCAACTCTCAATTAATCACAGGCTGTAAACAACCTATATTCATGACACTCCCCCTCAAGCTGGAGAGGAGATATCAACAACTCCCAGCTTTCTGCAAATAGGAGTCGAATACATTCTTTCAAAGAGCTTTGGTGAAGATGTCAGCTAGCTGATTGCCAGAGGGCACAAAAGTGAGTCACAATCTCATTTGAGGCCACCTAAGAATGAATGAAATGACAATTCACTTCAATGTGTTCTGCCCGTTCATAAAAAATTGGATTGCTAGAAATATGAATGGCGGCCTTGTTATCACAGTATAGAGAAGTTGGATCTTGTACTGAGATTCCAAATTCTTGTAGAAGGCTTCTCAACCAAGTTAGGTCGCAAGTTGTGTGAGCCATTGCACAGTATTCAGCCTCAACAATAGATTGAGCAACAACTGATTGCTTCTTACTTCTCCAAGTCACAAGATTACCCCCTATAAAAGTACAATAACTTGCAGTTGATCTTCTATCTGAGGGACAACCTGCCCAGTCTGCAACAACTGATTGCTTCTTACTTCTCCAAGTGATAAGATTATCATGGTATGTTGTTAGATCAGTCAAACCTCCAAGGCTCCACCTTGACTTCTCAAGCTCCATGCCATGTAACACATCACGATTTTCGGACTATCATGACTAACCAAACCGATTGACTCCACCTGCAACTAAAATGCGTTGCAGCACCTGTTGTGACTCTTGTGTTTTTTGGATCTCCTTCACCTTCGACTCTGATACCACTTGTTAGACTTCAAAAGTGTAAGGACTTGAAGATCCACAAGAAGAAATAAAGCAATCACCCACACAAAACATAAGAATTAATGTGGTTTGGCCAAACTTGGCTTACGTCCACGGATGTGAAGAGATTCACTATGATTATATAGAGATATTACAACAGTAGAGAATTCTTCACACTAGACCATGTACATAAACTCTTGCATTTGAGTTCTTCTCCGTGTACTCCATGAGACTCCCTCTCACCATCGGTGTTAACTCCACTCTACCAACCCGTAAACTACCTTTACCCATCGACTCCCTCATGAGGTTACCACTCTTCACTATAGAATTAGGGCTCCATGTCTCTCCATCTCATAAGTCTCAACCCATAACCTAGTTATCTATTTATAGAGTCCAAAACACAATTCCTTGGACAAAGATTACAATTACTTGGAGCCCAAGACTTGCCTAACAAGAAATTACCTAATAAATACAACTCTAACATAGAAACCTAATTAGAAAATGAATTTGAGGCACAATTCCTAACAAACACTTGGTTTTCATCACTAATTTTAACATTAATATCCTCCAAGTCTATGAAATCTTATTGAACTCATCTTGATGATCTTTTAATGGTTGAGTCTTCATCATCCATAGGCTTTAGAGTCCTTCCAAATACAACTTGTTCTTGTGATGGTCATGTATATACTCTCAAACTTGACCCACATCCTAGCAATTGGTATTTCATCAGTAACTTTTTGCAGTATTTCCTTAGCAAAACACAACTAAATCGTATCTAGTGCCTTAACATAGGAGTTCCTACTGATATTTTGTCATCATTGTCAGTACGTCTCTCTACCCAACAGATCTTTCTGTAACTCTTTCTGAACCAACCGAGCACACATCTTCATTTGCCACAAACCGAAACTGTTCTGCCTGTTTAACTTCTAATATGCTGACGTTTTCCAAACCACTAACCCAGGCAAACCGTCCTGCACAATAATAGCTTACATGGTTCAACTGAAAGCCTACGTATTATGGTGATGAAATCAAGGAATTTCCCTATAAAGATGACATGAACCGTCCTGCGCAACATTGTAAGTTCTTTCTCTAAGAGTCTTAATTACACCATTATATGTTTGTGCCTAACGGCTTATATACAGAACGCAGGAAATTTTTTAGCGGAGACCCTGTTTTTGACCGTATACTCGAATGGAAGAGAGCTTCTTTGCACTATTTATTGATTATCCACAAGTGCATTTGAACCCCATACTGGGTCTCTCTCAGGCTACAGGTGCTCTCCACTAGATTGCTCAAACACTTTTCTGACTGTAGGGCTTCTACCTTCTGTGTCCAAACACACACAAGCTTTCTAACACCTACAGACTTCTTCCATGGGCATTGGGGCTTCGAATTCAAAGTACCACCACATCAATAGATTAAGATAAAAAGGAAAAGGAAAAAGTAAGGGAGAGGACGAGCTGAATAATCTGGGTGGGAAAATAAAATGTCACCCTTTAAGGTGATTTTATATTAATAATCTGAAGGGTAAAGTGCAAAAAACACCCCCTGCTATTTAAAAAATGTGCAAAAAGCACCTTGAAGTTTAGTATGTGCATATAAATCCCTACATTTGAAAATATATGCAAATTGTACCTTGACCGTCAATTTTGACAATATTTTTTTTTATAAAACCCCAAAATACCTTTAATAATTATTGTTTTTTATTTTTATTTTGTCTTAAGGGCATTTTAGGTATTTCAGTCATCAAATTGACAAAATGTCCTTATTCGCTCGGTTTGGAAAATGTAGGAGGGGGGTGAGGTGGTTGTACACTGGGAAAAGAAGAAGGGGGGGGGGGGGGGGGGGGGGGGGGGGGTGGGTTGGGGGTTAGGAGTGGGGTGAGGTGGTTGTACACTGGAAAAAGAAGAAGGGGGGGGGGGGGGGGAGGGGGGGGGGGGGGTTTATGGTATATAACAAGGTTATTTTTTTGCACTTTACCCTAATCTGAAATAGAACTTCATATCCCAACATAAATAGTTTTTTTTTTTTTCGTTCGCAAGAAACGCAGTCACACACTCACTTTTTACCCATATGGAGACTTGAACCCTCGACTTTCTACTTTGAAAGTTGAGGAAGTACCACTAAGCTACAAGGCCCTTCATCCCAACATAAATTGTTTGAAATCCATCAGAACCTCCAACAAAATAAACATCATCATGGGCATCTTCCCAAGCAAAACTAACACTTTTAACTTATGAGGAACTCAAATGTCAAAAACTGTTGTATTCTATTAGTCAGAAGTCAGAAAAATGGTTTCAACATTTTGTAAATCCATTGATCAATTTTGCCAACTTTGTTAAATGTAACGTAAGGTAATATGGTCTTGTTATCATGTTTTTACAACATGAGGGAGTAAAAGTTGTGCATTTTCCTCCAAGAATTAATGTTATGTTTTAATAACACAAGGGAGAGTAAAAGTTGGGCATTTTCCTCCAACAAATTAATGTTGTTTAAAACGTGCAGAGTTTATAACATTGAATTTGTTGTATTATTATTAATATTATTATTATTATTATTATTATGAATAACTAGTGATATAATGAAGATATTACTATATTTGTAGTTTATCGATGGAATGTTTGATGAAACTGATGAGCCAGGTCTTGGTGGCGGAAGTAAGATTCCAGATATATGTGAAGATTATCTTTTGGGTAAAGTCATTATAAGATAATTTGACCCAGTCAGAATCATCATATTTTTTTCAAATTGCTGGTGTAGTTACCCTTTTCTTCTGTTCTTAGACACTGAATTTGCTGATGAAGCTTGGGATCCCAGTTGCATTCCAAGCGAAGAATCATATGTGGGAAAATTGGATTTAGAAAACCAGTCTGCAGCTTCAGGTGGAAGAGACTGTGGTGCTGAGATGTCAGAATTGTCTACCACAAGTATCCCAGTGCTTGAAGATAACTGGGATCAGAATTTTTTTTTGCTTGACAAGATGACTATTAATGAGCTAAATGGGGCCTTCAGGAAAATTTTTGGATGTGAAACATCTAATACAGACAAGCAGTGGCTGAAGGGCCGTATATTGTTTGGTTTGCAGAATCTTGTTGAAATGGATGGTGGTTTGAGCCTCTTGGAATGTCATGTAAATTCCAATGAAAATGAAGGCAAAATGATCTTGAAAGCAAGAAATGCGTGCTTCATTAGAACATCCAGCCCCTTCACCAGTGTGTTCAATTTCAAAACAAAGCCAAGAGTCCAAAATGTTAAGAGAGGAAGACCAGCTAGCTGTGATTCTTCTAATACCTTCTCATCTGAAATTAGCAAAGACATGCTTGGTTCCCCAGATTTGGGAGGAAAGCAAAATATGCTTGTTACCAAAAAGAGATTGCGTAAGCCTACTCGGAGGTATATCGAAGAATCAGTGGAACAAAATTCAAGGTATCAAAGGAGAAAATGTGGGATTTCTGATACAAGCTCTGAGGATAAAATTTTACAGATTGGATCTCACACACAGAATTCCAGAAAGGTATACGGAGCAACACCATTGATTTGTTGGGAGGAGTCTTTTAAAGGGGCTTGTATTCAAGTTCCATTTGGTATACCAGTCCAGAAAGGGCGCTCAAAGAAAAAGGTGAGAATCTTATCTGGTAAATGACTTGAAAAAAAGAGTGTGTATAATGTTATTTATTTTAAGGTAAACAAATCTGTGTTAAAATTTTAGCACACCTCTTTTATCCATCAAATGAGGATTATTGTTACAAAAATTTTGACAGTTTTAAATTTGGCAAGGGAGAGGGTTGGTCCGACTGGGTTCCAGAATAACCAAGTCGTTAATAAGTAGTAGAGTAGATATAGTGATGCACACGCACCTGTTGTGATTTTCTTGGAAGGAGTACAACTGTTCAAACGTATGGTAGTGACTTGCATGTCATGAACTATGCGACTGATGTTGGCAAATAATGCAAGTCATGAACTATGCGACTGATGTTGCCAAATAATGCTTTCAGTACCAGTTTTGTGAGGTTCTCTCTGTCCGATGTCATCCTGATTTCATTAAATATGTATATTTTTAATTTATTTATGAATCTGTAATTGTTTAGTTGATGTTTTTGACCTTACATTTTGTATCTAATTGAATTTTCAATGATGTATTTTGAATTCAAATGCGAAAGAAAAGCCCCTATATTCCCTATCTCTTATTATCAATCCTTTAAATGAGGGGGGCCCAGTTTTTGATTGGTTTCCAACTGTACAATATATTTTTCAGTAGTAAATGATCTGTGTCTGATATATTTTTCACAATTGGTAAACATGAGTGGTCAATCTCATAGTTTTAGTTATTTCTTTTTCAGGGACGGGATTATGAGGATGTCAGGGACAGTGAACTCTTAGGTTCAAATGTGGATTCAATTAAGGATTTTCTTTCAGCTGATTCACATGATGAAATATCTGAAGATGAATGTATTACAAGGAGTAGGATTCAAAATAGCAAGGGTAGGAGAAAGCACCACATATTCTGGACCCTCTCTGAGGTGTCGAAGTTGGTCGAAGGTGTTTCCAGGTACGGAGTTGGAAGATGGATTGAGATAAAGAGGCAGCAGTTCCCATTATCTGCAAACCGCACGGCGGTAGATCTCAAGGTTGTTACATTTTTCTACTATTTCAGTTTCTGTCTTACATTTTTGTACCCTTTTGGGAACTCAAATTTGTCATCACTTTGGCTTTCAGGACAAATGGAGAAATCTACTTAGGGCTAGCCTCTCGCGTTCACAGAGCAAGAGCGAGGTTGGCTATCACTGATTTTATATTTCTTTACCTTTCTATGTTATAAATAGGTGTATATTTACTTTGTATCCAAGACCTAGGTCACTTTCTACATTGTTTGCTTCTATTTAGACTAATTTTTGTCTCTCATTTGCATGGACGGGCATTAGCTGTTTGATAATTAGTTATAAGCTTCGTATATCTAGACATTTGATGTCTTAGATATATAAAGTGCTATGTATGTAACCAACGGGTCAATGGCCTAGCGGTATCAGCCTCTTACTTTCCAAAGGGAGGTCAGGGATTCAAGTCTCAGAAGAGACAAGTGTGTGTGTCTTTTTCCTTCTCCAATTAAAAGACAATAATAAAAAAGTTGTAAGTTCTGCAAACAGGCAGGTAGGCATGTTGCCATGATTTTACACATTGTAAATTATGCATAAAGAAAATAAGCAGCAATGTTGTGAACAATTGTGTGTGCAATGTGCATGGATACACAAGAAGCAATGTTTTTACCAGATTATGGGTCCTAGATATCCTAGTGAGGTGTTGTTTTCTCCAAGTTTAGTTTAATTTTCTGCTTCAGGATACATGCATTAATTATACGTTGTACCAAAGGAAGTTCTAAATGTTGACGGGAATGCATACATATCATGTGAAAGGACAAATGCACTAGAATTGGGAATGCTTAAAAGTTCTAGATACTCAAAGACACATGGAAAGAAACGTTGGTATACAGAAAAATACTCATAATGGCATGACATTTAGCTCATACTGAAACTAGTAGTTCATGTTTACACAGTGAAAGTGCTTGTATTATTAAACTCTTTGATTTTACTGTTAGTTTTTTTTATCTCTTCTATTCACATGCTTTCTTCATAAAGACGGGATTATGGCTCATGCAGGTTCAGTCAAGTCGAATGCATGCATCACAATCAATACCAGAGTCTATTCTGCGCCGTGTTAGGGAGTTGTCTGTCATCCATCCATATCCAAGGGAAAGAAAGAATCAGCTCTCGTGAACTGTTTGTGTTGCCTCTCCCGTCACCACTGCAACCTGTGATAAAGCATACTTGGAAAAGAAACCTTTCTGCATTAAGAAATTTGCACTGGGTAAAAGGATATACTTTGGAAAGGAAACTTTTGTACATTAAAAGGATATTGATGAGTAGGATGGCTTGTATGCTAGAGGGGTATTTTTGCTTTTGTCTGGTTCATAGTCTTGTTTCTATTCTATTATATACTGTTTATACTTTTATATATATATATATATATATATATATATATATATATATTTAACCTAGACATAGTGATGGTTCACGTGTATGGCATTGCATAAATGGGTCATTGATTGATAAGATCTCACAAGTGCAGTATTCTTTCCTAGAGTCCTGCATGATGTGTCTGTAGTTTTCTCTTTTTCCTGCTGTAAGTCGGGATATACGGCTGTATGCTGTACTTAGTTTTGGTAAAACATTGTGTGTAATGTGTAATCATGTGTATATATATATATATATATATATATTCCCATGGGAGTCTTGTAATTTGTATTGGGGGTTTTGCATCAGTACATTGCAGGTCATCAAAATCTAGAGAATTTCAATTTTTGCATCTGTACATGAAATTATTGTGAGAGGAGAGGGTCTTTTGGCATGTTTTTGGCTTCCTCAGGGGCGTGTGAAGCTTAGCTTGCTTTAGCAGCCACGTGATGTGACACGCACTCGAGTGAGTACCGCTTTTTCTTGGGAGAGGTCGCTTTGCAAGGTCAAAATATGATTGTGGTTTTATAAGCTTAGAAGGTTAAATTTACCTTTATAAAACTACCACTACAACTAATGAAGTATAGCAAGTAGGGATCGTCTGCAGGGATTAAAAATGTAGTTGGAATTTAATTTCGACTCTAATGGATCACAAAATTGCAAGAGAGGGTTGGTTTGATTACTCTAAAGTTCAATTAACATAAAATGCAAAAAAATTAAGCTAGAGTGAGTGAGGGGTTAAGAGATGAGAAGAGAGCCTTAGGGTGTTGGAATCACCGCCAAAATCATTCACCAAACTACATACTTTCAACTAATTGGGGAAAACATTCTTGTAAATAAAATGCGACTACGACTCTAGTGGATCACAAGATTGCAAGAGAGGGTTGATTTGATTACTCTAAAGTTCAATTAACATAAAATGCAATAAAATTAAGCTAAAGTGAGTTAGGGGTTAAGAGATGAGAAGAGAGGCTTAGAGTGTTGGAATCACCGCCAAACTCATTCACCAAACCACATACTTTCAACGAATTGGGAAAACATTCTTGTGAATAAAATGCAATCACCAATTGCGATATCAAGCATAGACCATCAAATTCAAGTGTGAATTGTCTACCTAACCAACAAGTAAACTTAGTATAGCACAATTCAGCAAGTTTAAGCATAACCCATCAAATTAATAACAATTGTAAGTCATATCAATCTATAGAATTATGGACTTTGCAATAATAAGCCATGGAATATCAAAGTCAAGCATACCTTGTCTACCTAACAACAAATAACTAATGTGTAACACAACACATCAAGACTAAGCATAACCCATCAAATTAAGTGACAAATCCATTCAATGAAAACTATGCATAGCCATTACTAGATTCTCAATCAACCACACATAGACATGAAATTAATATAAAAAAACTAGTGTAGAGATCAATTTTCAAATAATCACACATAAGATAATATGTAATCATATAGAGAATCAATAGGAAGAATTAAACCATAGAAATTAAAGGAGAACCCAAGATTCATTTTATACACAAGGCTAAAACATTAATCACAAGATAAATTCCCCAATAAGTTAAAGAGAAGGGTTTAGATTACAAACTTGGGACTCATCCAAGCCCCAAAGAGAAGTCTAGCCAATCATGGAGGAGGTGGATGTGATCTTGGAACCCTCAAGGGCTATCCCAAAACATGGCTCTATCTTCTTCCTCTTCTTCTTTGTTGAATTCTAAAGAGAGAGAGAGTGTGTAGATCTTAAGATATGTCCTTGGTGCCTCCACTCTTCCCTTTTCTTCTAACTCTAATCTCTAACTTTTCTAGAAAGGAGAACTAATGAAAATTAATATAAAAGTTACAATGTAAAAAATTCAAGAACTATTACAAAGTGGTTCATTTCCTCTTTTATACAAACTCCTTGGAGTGCTAAACAAGTTAGAAATTTAGCCCCTAATTGGTTCAATCTCGCAACCACTTGGTAGGTGAAGTTCGGGTGAAACCGGGAATAAAAAGAGCTCTCTGGCAGGCAATCTGCGATTGATAGCAGAAATTGGCGATCGATTATCGATTGTGCGATCAATCGTAGCTGACTCGGCAGCTTTATCTTGACAACTGGTGGCCTTATTTGCTGACGTGGTGCTATGAACGATCGCAGAATTCTATGATCAATTGTGACTTTGACGAACGATGACGTGGCGGCCTTATCCCTTGTTGACGTGGCTGCGAATGATGACGTCGCTGGCGATCGATCGTTCAATTCTGCGATCGATCGCCACTTACTGCTTTGGCATTTTTCTAACTTTTTTGGATTTTTTTGATGGATTTACTCGACTCCAAAAAGGTTTTAATAACCCATTTTTAGCTTATTTGAACCTTATTGGCCTGAAATCGACAAAAAACATAAATTAAAACTAAAACAGGAAAGTAAAAATAGATAAAGAACTAAAATACCCTAGCTTAGATGCTAAACTGTGCAACAGTTGAACATTTATCACACCCCCAAACTTAAATATTGCTAGTCCCTAGCAATGAACTATGGAATAAAAAGGAAACAAATAACTATGCAATTATGAACTAGAAATGTAACGACCTTGGATTTTTCAACCCAGTGTGTCCTGTGATGACCCGAAGCGAATCCAAAATGCGGAAGCAAAACAAAAACAAGTTCTTGGAGATGTACGTCATCCCTAAGACACAAGAATGGCCCTTCGAGGAAAATCGAGACTCAGCGGAAGCAAAATGAAGACAAGGGTATCAAAACCCTATCAACATAAGGACCAAGGGTAAAATGGTCATTTTACCCTAAGAGGAAGAAATTTGACTTCCAATAAGTCAAATGAGACCAAAACATCCAAAAATATCCTTTGGTAACTTCACATGAAGTACCAAGGCCAAAGGAAGTGAAATCCCAAATGAACCCTATCACGATTCGAACCAAAACTGGCACCCTCTCACTAAAACAAGGATATCTCAAGCTATGAGAAGAATCTGAAATTCAAATTTCTACCATTGGAAATACAATGAAAAATGAATTAAAATAGACTCGAGAATCACCCGATTCGGAGTTCGGACGGAAAAGATATCAAGTCTTGAAGTTAAGGAAAGAAAACCCCATTTCTATTCAAGCCAAATCCTAACATTACCTCACTAAAACATGAATAACTTGAGTTAAAAATGGAATCTTAAGCTCTAATTGGTACCATTAGAAAGCTTATTTCGACTCGATCAGTTTAGACTCAAGAACGGACCAATTCGGAGTTCAAACGAGTGAGATATGGCCCTCCGAAGAAAGATGTTTAGAGTAGGAGGCCATGCACAGACCCATGCGGGCGCCCACCAAAATCCTGCGGGGGCCCACCAAATGCAGCAGATCCACATGAGCGCCAGCCAAAATTTTGCGGGGGCCCGCCAAATGCAGCAGTGGCGCGGATACTGGAACCCCAAAATGCAGAAACAAGGTAAAAAAGACAAGTCTCAAGAACATAGCCAACATGAATGATCATTTGCAAGTGTGTGCAACATACTTATGAGTAATCTTTAATCAATCAAGGAAAATAAACAAAAGGTGGCCTTAAGGCCTCATGACAAGTCATTTACAAATTGTGTTCGACTCTTCAATTTCCATATATTTTATAACAAACTATGAAGTTAAACCAACTCACATGTCATATAAGTGTCTTTGGCTCTTGGCCTTATTACATAAACATCCAAAGAGTGCTAAAAGGTGCACTTAACTGCACATTACATAGTTGAGACAACAAATACAAGTTTTGACAAAAAGGGCTACAAATAGCATTTCAAGCCATCCTTTACAAGAATTGAAACCTTCTAGTCTACAATCATCCATGCAATGATGAACATCACGAACCAAGTCTTCGTACCTGAACAAATCCCCCAGTAACTTCAGGGTGAGTAAATAAGTTTACTTGTAGAGAATGAGCATGCTTAGACTCGATTTCTTTAGAGATTTTTACATTGACTTGAAACAATTCAAAAGGGTCATGCCACCTAACGTCTACGTCAAAGGTGAGGCTTAGGGAGCATCCTAAACTACCTTAGATCATTTATAACATAAATCACATCCCTCATGCAATTCAAACAATATAGAAGCATGTTATACAAGGCAACAAGATACAGATTCCCAAGTTCATCAACTTGAAATCTAAAGTACGTAAACCACTAAATATAACCATTTAGCATAATTAGAATTTCAAATACAATGCATCAAGACATAGATTCTCGAAGTTATCAACTTGAAATCTAAAATACGAAAACAACCAAAGTGAATATACAAGTCCAAATCCATGATTTGAATATAGAAACAACTTCTAAAACACAATCAGATCCATGGTGCCATTAGATACAATTTAATTAAACAAAAATAATTAAATTCTCTAGATTTCAAATCAAATTTGAATAACCTCAAATTATTATATGTTAAACAATATAGCATGCTCATTACATATATCAAATCAAAAGAGCAAAATGAGCAAGACATCATCTTGTAAAATTTAATTAATTTAAATTAATTAAATCTCTAATTTTCAAAAATCATTCAAATGACCCCAAATTAATATATATTAAGCACTAAGTCATGGTCACACCATATCTCAAGTCTAAAATGGAATACAAGTAAAACACAATTTACTAGAATTTAAATCAAATTAAATTTATTTAATTTCTAGATTTGGAAACTTATCTAAATCATCCCAAATTAATATATACCAAAGATTAAGCTATAGCCATGCCATAAACCAAGTCTAAAATGAGTTATAAGCAACTATGACACATCATTTATTTATCAAATTAACAAAAAAAAACATGCTTACAACTTATATATTCATACAAAAGCAATTAAGGCCACTTAGAAAATAAATTATAACACCCCCTACCTCACAAAAGGATTGTTCCTCTTGAATCCAAGGCTAGCAAGCACAAAATGGTAAACCCTTCTAAGGTTATGAAGAGGAAGGTGAGGGGAACAAAAAGTATTCCCAAGGTCAAGCTTGGAAATCAATGGAAGGCCCTCAAAATCAAGTTCAAAGCTTAAGGCTTCAAGCTCCATCCATGGAGGCTAGGGTTTTCTTTACAAAAGAGGGAGGATATACAAATTAAGTGTGATAGAATGTGAGTGGAGGAAATAGAAATTTTTCACTCACTATGTGGTCTTACACCAAGGTCAACACACACAAGTCTTGGTCAACTGCACAAAAACCCCTCTTTAAAAATCCGAACACGAAAAGTGAGATTATGCCAACAAAGTGACAAC